AAATTTATATTTGTTTCTATTTATATTGTGTTGAATTTACATGTCGAAAGATAGCGCAACTTGGTTAAATTTCATAGGCTCTTGTACCTTGTTAAATTTCATCTTAAACTCAATTGGCATTAAGTGAAATTGTTCAATATATATATAAATTGCATCCAATAATAATTGAATAGGCAATGTAAGACTTTCCAACACCCATCACAAAGTGATCACTAGAAACAGCCTGAAACTATAAATAGGAATTGTTGCACCATTTTACATTTTCTCTTTTCTCTCTTCCTTGTGTTCTTAGTGCTAGAAATTAATAGGTTTGAGTTTTGATTCTTGAAGGTTCTTTGATGGAGGTTTGCTCTGGGAATGGATATGTAGCTGAATGGATTGCATTCATGGATCTTCTCCATGCTCCAATTTTGTGAGGGAAACTTTAATATCATTTTTCAAGTCCTTTTGTAGTGATATGATATTGATACTTTGTTCTAAACTTTGTGATTCCTTTAATCGTATCTTGATATCATACAATACATCTTCTCTTGTTGTATTCTTTCCCCCTGTTAATGAATTTACACAATTATTTCCAAGCTTGTTAAGGTTTTTCAATTATTATTCTGTTTTAACATAAACAACTAACAATGCTTCTTATCATTATAAAAGGATTCATTCACCTTCAATGAAATTTAAGTTCATTATTCACCACAATCTTTTCTTCTAACAACTCCACTTCTCTAATGGCATAGATTCAGCTTTGGTAAAAAAATTGTTCCTTAGATACTACCAAGGATAGTATTTAGAGGAGAAAAATGAGATGAAAGGTAAATGGAAAGGCAAGGATTAGAGAAGTAGTTTAAATAGAAGAGATAAGAGAGGTTTACTAAGAAAATAAAAATGGAAGGATGAAGATATAAAACTCGTCGGGCATTTCTCTTTTAGTTGTTGAACCCTTCACACCATAAGGCCCTTTAATAGAATCCATCAACTATAACTTCCTCTAACAATGTGATTCAGTAACCTAAAAATCACTATTAAAAAAGTGTCATTTTCTTATGAATTTTTCTATAAAAAAAATATTCGCATATGCTAATTTTCTTGTAATAATAATTTCACAAATTTTTTTTACAAATTTATTTATGAAAAATAATTTAAAGTTATTTCTTATAATTTTTTTATGAAAAATAAAGTACAAGAAATTTCTATAAATTTTGCTATAATTTTAAGGATCGTAAAAAAAATTTCCATGGTAAAAATTTGTAAAAAATATTGTAAGAATTTTATTTTGTTTCTTGTAAATTTTCTTGCAAAAATAAATTCGTAAGAAACTTTCCTACGATTCTTCTTTTTTGCGATTTTTTTGTAGAAAATTTTCCTGCGAATTTTTTCTCAAGAAATTTCGCAGGAGAATTTCTAGTAAATATTAAAATTTGCAAAAAATATATTATCTATGAAAGTATTACATGTAGATAAAATTTAACCGAAAAATTAGTAAGAATAATGTTTGCTACAAATTTTAATACAAAATTCACAAAAAAAAACTCATATAATAAGATAAATTCTAGTAGTGAATGAGACCAACATTCCTTTACAAGCTTCCCAAATAATGATTTTTCATTATTCATCAAGCTCATTGGTTTATCCCCAAGATACTACAAAAATATCTTAATTTTGGAACCGAAGCTACAAAACTAGCAAGAAAAACTCAAAACCCAGATCAAAGAAATAGAGATAATTTGTGTTGTGTGATAGAGATGAGAGTTTTGCTACTCATGAGTTCTTCTTCTTCAAAAGGTAGAGCTATTTACTGGAGGCTAGAGGTACACGAGAATTAAAAATTAATTTAAAGGAATAAAGAGTAATAAAGCACCAACGACCAGAAAATAAAAATCATTAAAATGGGATTTTATGAGTAATTAATTTATGAAGATGCTAAAATAGTTACTCTGGTGTAAGCTCTTAATGTTTGAAAATATTTAAAAATAATATTAAATTTTCATAAAAATTGTGAGAAGCTCATGCATCTCATCCATAAGGGGGATAAATCAGTTGATGTGCACTACAACAAACCCATTTGATCTCACGCGAGCCTCTCCACTCTTACTAGCCTCTTTGTAAGTCTATATCACAACTTGATATTAAACCATTCTCTACAAGCAATACCAACCTATGTAGGACTTCTACAATTTGTAATACCTTAGATATAACAATCCATAGCATATTACAAAAGGTAAGGGAACATTTTAAAGAAGAGAGATAGAAGCTCTGGATTCTTTTATAGGATGTAATGCATCAAATATGGTATAACAAGCTATTGAACCAAACCTTAGACTGATAAAATCTAATACATAATGTTTTGAGTGAGTAAGCCATATTAAACCTAAAACACTTGACATGTGTTAAAAGTTAACCAATCAAAACACACTCCACAATTCTTGTTTTTATCCTTGTGTTGCACTTTTATGACATGTTCTTGTCCAATATTCATGAGTCTTCTAGAGATTTCGCCAAAATCTCATACATATGACCCCACTTGACACTTGTGTAGATGATTTCATCAAGTGTATGTTGCTTCCTACACCACCCATAAGGGATATGAACTTCATTTAAAGTTTTATTTTGTTAAGCTTTCTCATAACCACATAATGTTTAACTATAAAACTTATCTTCTCAATAATGCAATACCTAGCACTTTCTCACGTCATTTGGAGGAACCAAAATTGAATTCTAATCAATTTTAGTACTAGGAGAACTAATAAATGACTTGTTTTTCTCTTCATGGGATTTTCAAACACAAAAGTTGGGTTACCATAATAGTTTGTTTTTAGGTGGCTTATGTCTGATTCCTCTTAACGCTTCTAAAATCATTTTTCTTCGTAGGAGTTTTGTTAGGGAACCTGCTAACTTTCCTTCTATTTTCACTAATCGATGGAAATTGTTCCATCCTTTGGCAATGACTTTATCACATAACATCTCAATTGTATGTGCATATTTTTCCCATTGTAAGTTTTGTTCTTAGCTATAACTATTGTCGATTGGCAATAACAATGCATTGACAATAACAATGCATTGACACTGATGTAGTTAGTTTTATTCTCAAAGGATATTTGCTAAGTTTTTCAACCACTCAACCTTAGTGCTAGCCATTTTTGGACTAACAAACTCTAATTACACCGTTCCTCCACCAATTGTAAACACGTAACAACTAAGTGCATTTGTTTCATCTGAGTTTAAAATCTAATTAGTATCATTATACCCTTCTAGTACAATAGGAATCCACTATATACAATACCATAATCCATGGTACCTTCCAAGTATCTCATCGGTCTTGCAAGTGCATCCCAATGACACTCATTAGGATTTTGAGTGTATTTGCTCAATCTACCTACTACATATGTTATATCAGGTCTATAGAAATTCATAAGATGTAGTAGGCTGCCAATGATTTGGGCATTTGGATATTGAGTAATAAGATCTCTTCTATTTTTCTTTAATTGAGAATTAGCATCATAAGAGGTACTAATTGACTTAGAGTCATAATAATCAAACTTTTTGAGAAGTTTTTCAACATAGTGTTCTTTGGATAGTAATATATTATCTCCCTTTCTTATTATTCCCAAGATTACACTTGCTGCTCCCATGTCTTTCATATCAAAGTCAGAGACCAAAAAGGATTTAAATCTTAAAACTACATTAATGTATGTACCAAAAGTAAACATGTCATCCACATATAAACATATTATGACACAATCACCATTTACAGATTTTGTGTACACTCATCTATCAACATCACTAGATTTAAAATCATCACTTAGAACAACAACATTAAACTTTTCATGTCATTGTTTTGGTGCTTGTTTTGGACCATTAAGGGATTTAAGAAGTTTGCACATTTTGTTTTCATCACCAAGAAACACACACCTTTCAAGTTGGGATATATATATATATATATATATATATATATATATATATATATATATATATTGGAGATATATATATATATATATATATATATATATATATATATATATATCTCTTTCTCTAGGTCAACATTTAAGAAAGTCATCTTCACATCTAATTGCTGAATTACTAACTTATATATAGACACTAAGGCTATCAAAACAAAAAATAGAGGAAATTTTGGTAATTAGAGCAAAAGTGTCAAAGTAATCTATGTTTGTTTTCTGAGTAAACCATTTAGTTACCAACCTAGCTTTGCACTTGTCTATAGATCCATTTAGGTTTATACTTTTTCTTAAAGATCCACCTACAGCCAAAAGGTTTTTGCTCCTTTATGTAAATCTACTAAAATCCAAGTATTGTTCTTTTTGATAGAATTAATTTCAATCTTTATGACTTGTTTTCAAAGATCTACATCTAGAGAACTAATAGCCTCAAGATAACTTAAGCGATCACCATTAACAAGATAAGTATAGAAATCATCTCCAAAAGAGTTTTCTTTCCTTTGTCTCGCTCCTTCTAATACCTTAACACATATCTTCACTACATGCTTAACTAGGTTGTTTAATACTATCATCATGATCTTCTCTAGTACTAGCATTAATTCTAACCTTTAAAGAAAATATGTCCTCGAAGAATTCAGCATTGTTCGATGGCCATACATTTGAGGAAACCTATAGGCAATACTATGTTCTACATAACCAACAAACATGCAATCAGAAGTCTTAGGTCCTATTTTTCTTTTCTTAATTAATTAGGATCAAGTAACAACACTTTGGTTGGACACCCCACGCTCTCAAGTACTTCAAGTTTGGAAGATACCTTTTCCATAAGCCATAAGGTGCCTTACCAGTTTTTCTATGTGGGATTCTATCCTATAAGAAACAACTACATATTCAAGTCAATTTATATGAATACCCTCACTTATTTATTGACTGCAATCAGGTACATATGAACCCTCTTGCACCTTTTCTTTTAATTCCTCTTTCATTTCATAGCATAGTACATTTTACATATAACTTCTAGTTACACTTTGTTGGCTTCTTGACTCTTTCTGGTGGCAGAGATAGAGAAAAGATGTTGGCATAAAAACAAATTCTTCCCTTCAATGTGATTCTGCAAACTGAAAATGAGACCAGTATTCCTTGACAAGCTGCCCAAACAATGATTTTTCATTCTTCATCAAGGTCATTGGCTCATCATACTCTGCCAGCTTTCCTATAAATACAATCACACATTTCATTTCATTAAAAGAGAACAAGAAAATGATAAAATGTCTTCTTCACCCTTTATTTGTGATAATAGTTAACTTGTGACATTAAGTACATAGATTTTACATGTTCACATTTTTGTCACTAAAGTGAAAACGCTGAATCAACTACTTCATTTTTCTTAATATCTTTGTTGTGTGTCTAACCAAATAATCAGGACCATATGGATGAACCAGTATTTTTACTCTCAACTTGCCCACTTACCAGCAAAATGTTATGAGGTCAATAGTAGAAAATGACAATAGAGTTATGGCTTAGTCAGACAAAGTGCATGTTTAACTGAATTAAATAAAGGCACTCAATATGCAACTGACCGTCACTGATGGCAAGAACCATAGTGCAATCCATCACGGTTGGTATCCTGTGGGCCACGGTGATTACTGTGCAATTTGCAAACTCAGTCTTAATGGTTTTCTGCAGAATCAAATCGGTTGCATTATCAATTGATGCAGTAGCTTCATCCAGCACCAATATCTTACTTCTCCGCAAAAGAGCACGCCCCAAACAGAATAACTGCCTTTGTCCAATGCTCCAGTTTGATCCTTCTTCAACAACTGATTAACATTTTGTTTCTAGCCATTACTAAAATGGAAAGAAGTGCTTGCAGCAAAGTTGCAACAGTGAAACTTGAAACATGGAAGTTTACCTGAGGAATCTAAGCCACCTTCTTTATCCTGGACTGCTTCTTGCAACTGACACTTACGAAGAACCTTCACATGGAAGCTATAATTAATCAGTTCTGATTAAAAGAAAGCGAAGATATCTGGGTAAAACATCATTTGGGTCCTTGAAAGTGCATGATGCGAATACTTTAGTCCTTGAAAGTTCCTCTTGTTTCATTTAATTCCCTAAAAGTAACTACTTATTGTCACTTTAGTCCCTAAATATACATTAATATTATCATTTAAGTCACATGTCACTTTGCTTTTGGCATATATTAGATTAATGTTATTAGCACCAAATTAATTAGATACACATCTAATCTAATGATTAGGTGGAACCAGTTGGGTGCCTAAGTCCCAATCGATGGATCGGTTTGATGAGTTAATTCAAAGCGAATTTTAAATCAATTTGTTACCTTCAATTTATATTTTTAGCGGTTGAGTTTCTTTCATTTATTATATGGATTTTTACTTCATTAATTAGATTTTAGAGGCCTCAAATATTATTTTTTTTTTAAAAAGGAATTTAGTTTTTCTTTTTATGCTAGCTTGGCCTTTTCAATTTCTTATTCCAGTTTTCTTTTGCTAGCTGATTGTTATTTTTTTCTTTATTTTGGGCTCCAAGTTTTACCTTAGATGTGAAATGCGATACTTTATGTTCAAACCGTTGTTTAAGAGTGACGAAGAGTATGTGTTGTTGTGTTATGTTATGATGTGTTTTAAACTTAAGCAGCTTTTCTCTTAAATTATGACTAAATTAATCATTTCTTATGGAGACTTTGGACTGATCGGTGCTGTAATAAGATAAGATATTATACTTGTGGAAGAAAATAAGCACAAAATTTTTTATGATGCTAAAAGTATTGAAAAAAATTGAAGGTCAAGTTAAAGCAAGTTGATCAAGGAACAAGATTTCAAGAATTAAAAAGGTAAGTCTTGTCAACTTAGCTAAACATGTAAAAGAAACTTTTAGAAATTGCAAGTATACTTGGCCATTAAAATTAAGATTTCAAAAACCTCAATTTAATCCTTTTGAATTTAAAAGCAAGTTTTAAATCTTTTGAAAGGAAAGTAAAAGAGTGTTCAAAAAGGATTAACGAAAATTTTTTTTAATCATGAAAAAGAAGTTTCCTATATCAAAAGTTTTTTTTAAGAAAAAGTAATAATATTGGTCTAGTAATCGATTACCAGTTGCAGTAATCAATTACCAGAAGAAGGAAACTTCAAAATTCAAATTTCAAAATACAACGTTTAAGTTACTTTAAAATTTAGAACTGTTGTAATCGATTACCAATCACTATAAGAAAATTGCAAATTAGAAAGGGAAAAGTCCTTCGCAAATCCCTCGCTAAACAAAATGGCAAGGGACTAGAGAGGGATTTGCGAAGGACGATTCCCTCGCTAACTTCAAGTCGCTAATTAGCGACAAATGCATATCCCTCGCAATTCCCTCGCTACATTCCTTCGCCATTCCCTCGCAACCGACTTCGCTAATCTGTCGCAAATTTGTGCCGCTAATTCATCGTTATTGCCTCACCAATGTAGAACCCAAATTCCCTCGCTAACTGCATTTGATATTTCCTCGCTAACATGTCGCAAAACCTTCGCAAGATGTCCTTCGCTACTTTGTCGCTACTCCATCGCAAAATGTTGTCGCAATATATTAATTGAGGTCCCTCGCACATCCCTCGCTAAACCTTCGCAAATATGCCCCTCGCAAATCCCTCGCTAAGCCTTTGCAAATATGTCCCTCACAAATCGTTCACTAATCCCACGCAAATCCATCAAAGCATATCGATTGAGTGATGGAATAACACTAAGGCCGAGAAGACCAAGAGGTGATATACTAAAGGAGGCAAGAGGAATGGGATAGTGAGGCCATTTTTGGACCTTAGCTCCTATGTTTTTTTTTAGCATTTATTTTATTTCCTATTTTACCCTTGTATTTTGGGGTATTTTAGTCATAGGATTTATTTTCTTTGTATTTCCTATTTTACCCTTGTATTATGGGGTGCTTTAGATGATTAGGTTTTTAATTTGGGCTAGGGTATTACACTAGAAGGGTGACACATTTTTGGTGAGTTTTGGATCTATTTTTGGTGATAGAAAGGCTTAGGCCCAAGTGGAGGGCAAAGGTTGCATGATCATATCATACACCTTGATGTAGCCAATCTAGACCCATAGATTCCAAACTTGGTCACCAAGTAGCATCTAGGGTTCATTTGGCATGTCATTTGGAGTGCATTTGCCTTGTGAATTTTGGCCATGCACACTCCAAATGCAACCCTAGATGCCTCCCCTCCTATAAATACCCAACACCCCACCACTTGTAAATACTTTGGAGATGACTCACAAGGAGTATTGAGTCACTAGTCGAATCAAATAGTTACTAATTGAATCACTTGAACTAATATATATTAGATTAATGTTGATAGTAATAGCGTTGCTGAGACTATCAAAAGTAAAATAGATTTTCTCTAAAAATTTGCAATACAGCAAATAACTTAAGTCATTCTTCACGAAGACACGAGCACATTTAATTCACATTTTATCACGCAATTAGCAAGGTGATTTTTAATTTTTCAACACAGTATTAGTCAACAAAATAGAGAATTAAGAATCAAAGAAATATTGATTCAAGGTTTCAACCTGTACGGTAAAATATTCATAGTTCAACAATAAATCTAAATTATCAATCAACCTAATTCAACACAAACTTAATAAGAAAACAGATCTATGAATTCCATCAAAATATGAAACACAATCGTGATCTCACAATTTTAATTAAATTCAATAATGATGAATGATTGAATTAGGCGATTTAAGTTATTTTATGTCTAAATTTAAATATAAATCTATATCTAAAATTAATCTTCAATATTTGTTCTAGATCCAAAATAAAATTTATAATCATGAAAAATGAAAGAAAAACCTAAAATAGAGAAGAAGAGAAAAAAGAATCTGTTTGGTAAAAAAATCGAGAACTCGAATTTTACTACAGTTCTTGAAACCTAGAATTGATTGACGAACTAGCCACGCATCATAATCATGTTGCAATAATCCAATTCGTGTAAGTAAGAGAGAAGATCAGAGAGAGAGAGAGAGAGAGAGAGAGATAGAGAGAATTTAGAAAAACTTGTAAAGGAAACAACTTTAAAATTTGAAAAATGAGAAATATGATGTCAAGTGTACATGTGTTACACTTATTTATAGACTACACTAATGGGCCTAATAATCTGAGTAATTAAAAGTCTAGCACACTAAATTAACTAATTACATCACTAAACAAATCCTAACATTACAATTTAAAAAAGAAAAAAGAAATGTTATGTAGGGCCGCAACCTTGCAACATAATTTTGGATCACTTAACATCTAAACTGGCCTTTGATTCCAACAAAGAAGTTGTACAACTCTCTTTTATCTTTCCAAGGACACCAAGATCACCTAAATCCGATATCCGATATCTAGATATAGTCTGCATAAGAAACAATGTCAAAATAGAATAAATTACAAAAGTTAACTAGAATTTACAACTAAAACCAAAATGACTCATTAGAATAAATTAAAGCTAATATATCACAATATGATACTAATAAAAGTCAAATAAATAAAAAATAATGTATAAAAAGATACACAAAAAATTTATAAACTCAACCCAGTTCAATACGTAAAATTTTAATTGGATTGATAACAAGTTTAGTTAAACTCAATAAACTCAATCATAAACATCCATAACTTTATTACCCAATATTTTAAAACTCGGATAAATTAATAATTAATTCAGAAGAAGTATTGAGTCACTAGTTGAATCAAATAAGTTATTGATTGAATCTGTAACGACCTGCCATGGTCTCTACACTTAGTGAAATTGCACTACTACTAGTGAACTAAGAGAAGTATTAAGTTGGATAACTCATACATACAAGTATAGATAAGAATAAAAATAACTAAGTTTCTTAAATACAAAATAGAATGCCATATATGTACAGTCATCCCAAAAATAATATTCCCTAGTGTCGGTCAAGCACAGACAAAACCGTTACCCAAAATGGTAACTCTAACACAAGGATCAAACTCCTCGTCTCGCAGCGGTCACCTCAACTCCAAGTTATCCCTGACCTGCTCCTATACCAAGTATGATCATCGCAGTCCCACCACATGGAAACAGAAGGGTAAGCTAGAGTTCAAAAATCAATCATACAAGTACAAAATAAAATCTATACTACACATGCAACCAAATGAAGTCCCTAGAGGAACTTCCATCTTAATCAATCATCCATTCATCAAACATGAAGTCAAACACCATAGACTTCATCATCATAACAATCATGCAATAGATGCAACTCATGACAGATATCAATGCATATCAATTATCTAATGCGTCGTCACGCATACACCTAGGAGATCTCCCTAACAATAGAGTTGTATAAGTGACATTCCATCCTACCGAAATCACCCCAACCTTTTTCACGCCCAATGTGCCCGCTCGGTCACAGCTAAACAGGATATAATCCTCACTAAGGTTTACTCGGATGATGTCACTTACACAATTGGAAGTCCAGATCCACTGTCAGGTATAACACAGTTGGGTATGGCTTACCACGACCTTGGCATGCATTACCAAGTCAATTGTGGAGTTCGCCCACCGACTATCCGCAAGAATCCACACACCTTTCCGAGTACTTGGTTAAGGGAATAACCCTCGACCTCATACCCCACTCCAACACTAGCTAAGGACTTAGAGAAGACTCACCCAACCTAGTGGCCTACTTGAGCACCACTCTCCCAAATCTAGTGGCCTACCTGAGAACCACTCTCATATATCAGTGGCCTATCCAAGCACCACTCTCAAGAGACTCTATGTGAGCTCTTCTAGTTCGAAAATGTTTTTCCTCTCCTCAAGTCCTAGGTTAGACTCATGCCATAAGGCATCACATGCAATTATGCATCACACACATACATGGTCTGCCCACCATCATGATCAACAATCATACACATTTCATAAGATATCACATGCAATAATGCATCATACATCATACATGATCTA